TGTTCTAGTTTTAATCACTAGCCATATGACTATACCTGTAATTAAACAAATACAGTCCGTTAAAAGTAACTTAAGGACAACCCCTATTTCACAGGGTGGAGTTTGATCAGTTTATTATATGTGAATGAGTTAAACAGTGTTCAATAGGCACCTTCTTCCTAGTCTTAGAGGGCTTTCTGGTAACCAGGGCAGAAGACATTTCTGAATTCAGACTTGCTTTCTCTGAGCCATCCCTCTGAATCTGCATTCCTTTGATCTACAGCAACCCCAAAACTATAGGAAACCAGATTTAAAGTAAGCCCTTCCTTTGTGTTCACTGATTTGATCAAGATGGGGGAGTGAGCTTCCAGATTCACTCACTTTACTGCAGATTTTTGCCAAAAGATCACAGAATCTGGTTTAATGGCATAAACGTTCTTAAAATTAAATGGGAGTTCTTGGGGAAGGGTAAGTTAAAGGCCATACTCTAGCCCAGGAGCTACAAGACATACTTTGCTCTGCTGAAATGGTGGTTGTAAGGTGTTGGTGTCTCATATTGACATCTTGGTCTCTGGAAATGGCAGTGCTATCTCTGAAGACAGATTACAGAGCTGCCTACAGCCTTAAACATCAGTCTTAAAGCAGAACTTAACACTTCGGCCCTACCTGCCCCATTTGACTTGTTTTTGAGACAGGGCCTCACTCTATATCCCACAGTGATCTTGAATTACCACCACACCCAGTAGGCCTTTTTATGCCATGCCTTCTTCAGATGGCTAAAAAATGATTCTATCACAATGTTAGAGCAAAGTTTTCCCCAGAGAAACCCTGTAAAGAATAAAATGATGGAATTTTGTAGTTAGGGATAAAGAAAAAGAGTTGTTTCTGTAAAAGGATTCAAGAAATATTAGAGCTTCACAAGGGAAAAGTCAGCTTAGGTATGGAGGGCCTCTCCATGATGTTTAGCAAATGAATGTAATTTCAGAAAATACTGAAAATACAAGTTTTCTGAATGCAACTATGTGTGTGGGCTTTCCCAGCATCTTGCAAATGCTGCATCAGCAATGAGAAGCAGGAAGAGATAAGCATGGAGTAAGAACTCCATGCTTATTCACTGTAAAGCTCTATCTCAGCCAAGGAGGCCTTGTCATCCAATATGACCTCCAACTTTTTTCTATCCGACAACATCAGGAACTCACTGAAAAAAAAAAAAAGCAGTTTAGAGTGGTGTAATGTATCCTCCCAACTACTCCTGAGAGGTCTTTCTCCCTACATTTGTAGTAGAACCTACCTTAAGAAGTCTGTCTGGGGATATAATCTGACACTTTCCATCCCAAGGAGGATAGAAAGGGAAAGATCTAGACACACAGCTCTGTGATGGAACTGGGGATGGGGTGTCAATCAAGATTTGGAAGATCAAGGAGGTCATAATGGGCAAGATGACATCCACCAGCAAAGTCATCCAAGTAGTGAAGCCGCATGGCCTCTGTAAGGTTCCCTTACAGAAGAGACAATTCTAAACTTAGTGTCTCAGAAGCTCTGAGACCACTGAGCTTCCCTCTCCTGTAATTTCATATCATTCTAAAATAAGTATACCCCCAGGTTAGCTGCTAGGTCAGGCAGGGGCCAACAGACACTGAATAATAAAACCATTACCTCATTACAAATGGGCATTGTCCAATGTGGAAATCCAGAATGATCATTGTGACTGCTGTTTGTCATCAGAATAATTATATTTCCAATAAGGGACTTTCAAAATAAGTGAAAGTGTTTATTTAGCAAACTTATTAAATATTCTGGAGAGGGAGGGACCAGGAAACATTGGATCATGTGCCCCTCTCCCAAGAAGTCCTACTTTTTCCTTAGATGTTTTTATCTGTGTGTCTGTCCTTACAGATTGCTAGCTATCGCACTGAATCATCCCAAGAAAACTAGAACTAAAGAGACTATAGGCTCTCTCCCGTGTAAAACCATTTTTTGTAGACAAAGTGTTAAAGGGTATCATCTCTGGCCCTATTGTGTTGAGGGGGTAGCTGGTCTTACACTCCATTTGTGGAAAGTCCAATGGTCCAGAATCAGTGCCTACCTTTTTCTCATTCCTGGGGTTGGAGGGCTCCAGTGGAATTGTGTGATCCACAGAACTGCCTCTCCACAAACTATAAGAAGCCAAGATCTCCCTTGATGTCTACCCAGAATAATGCTGTGAGTTTGTAAGAAGCAGTAATGACTCAGCACCAGACTCTGCTCCTTCCAGCTAGAACTAAAGGCAGAAGCAAGCTCCTCCCCTCCCCAGCTGATGGCCACATCCTTACCACAAACTGAGTCATGGCCACACCCAGCCTGTATGGAAAACTACCAGGAAAAGAGAGAAGGTAAATGCAGTTCAACGAGTATTTGAGGCCAAAATCACAGCTATACACTCTCCATCTGGCACTAATTGAGGAAAACAATTCCTTTTCCTATCCCTATCCCTATCCAAGCATGTCTAATCTGAGTCAATCAAGTTTGCTTACACTCGGGTAAATGGAAGGTGGGCTGTAAGAGCTCTGGCCTTTGTGAAGAATGATATCTTGTAGCTCATGCATGTCTTCATGGACCCCAGCCCTCTTACCCTCAATTCTCCCTCCAAGCTGTGAAAGGATACCTCTACAGAAACACAGGATGCTACCAACCAAGTTTCTCTGCATTGAGGGCATTCTTCTGTCAGATGAAGTTTTCCTTCTTCCTTACAATGCTGAGGAATTAACCTAAAGTTTTGTATTTGTTAAGCAAAGGTGCTAAGGCTGAGCCACAGGCCCTGCTTTCAGAAAGCATTCTTATGTAGGGAGCTTGCAACAATATATACAATATATACTTATACAATAATATACAGTATATACTTATACAATAATATAAATGTTAGCAAGTTATTTAAGGTAGTTTGCACACTACCTGGGAACTCATGTGTAAGAATCAAATTATGTTAACTGTCTCTGACACCATATTATGGGTTACAAAATCTTTTCAGGAAGCAGGATTTTTAGTTGCATATGTCCACTGATAGTCATTTATTTGGGTTACAGTTATTTGTCTCAGGCCTGAGTCTTAGAAAACTTGGGGGTGTTGGGATATACTAGTTATTTCCTTTTTGAGATGGGTGTCTTGCTAAGTTCAAGTTAGTCTTGACATCCTGAGCTCAACTGATTCTCCTGTCTTGGCCACCAGTGAATAAGCTAGGATTGTAGTTGAATACTACCATACTCATTTATAATGTACTAATCGTAAAACAATGAAGAAATCAATTTCTGCGGGGGAGGGTCTTTAATAGTGGTACTGAAGGTCACAGAAGACAAGAGCTAGTCTAGAGCAGGCTTTGAAAACAAGAACTATAGTAGAATTTGAAATCATCTTGAAAAGCTGGGCTTTTAAAAGAGCTTTGTGGTGTTTTCTATGTTTACATATCTGTTTTTCATTAATATTTCATAGAATATTTGGAAATGTTCAACATGTCTCAGCTATGGTTAGAATTAACTAAGGGAACAACCACGGTGGCAATGCCTTTAATCCCAGGACATCAAAGTTCAAGACCAGCTTGGTTACACATAGTAAGTTTCAGGCCAGCCAGGGCTACATAGTGAGACCCTGTCTTAAAAATTAAGAATACAGGGTATATGAAACAAGTCTGATTGGCCAGAAGCTTCCTTAATAAGACAAACCCAATCCTCCAAAGCTACCCAGTGTTAGAGAAAGGCAGTGGTTTCAAAACACTTTCCTACTCAGGAAGTTCCATATGCCTGTGAGTTCCCACTCCAACCCTGACAGCCTCTGGCACCCTTAGAACTTCATACATACTAAGCAAGCACTTTACCACTGAGCTATAGCCACAGTCCTAGACTAGCCTCTCTTAAAGGACTTCAAGTTAGAGGACTCAGTTTTCTGTACCTGCCAACTTACTCTTCACCCTACTTATCCTAAAAGCCAGGCAGAAGAAAGAATAAGAGCCCAGCCTCTAAGAAACAAAGCAAGGACGACAAGGTTGGTTTTGCGTGAGAAAGCAGCTGGTCCTGAAGATTTTAAAAACAAACAAACAAACAAATAAACAAAAAAAAAAATTAAAGCTGCTCTGACCTCAAAGACCCTTTTAAATCTTCAGTAACAAGCTTCTGGGGTATTCTGTTTGTTCCATTTGCATAACTGATAAACGTCCCCTCTTAATTTTTTGATTAAAAATACTGACATACCTGTAGAACACAAAACTGAAACTAAATGGACATCCTTTACTTCAGGAAACAAATAGTCCCAACCTTCAAGATATTCCACTCCCACAACACAACCCCTTATTTGGGCCTCAGTTAGGTGCTGGGCCGAGGTAGGCAGACCACAGTGATCATATCCAGTCCACAGCACCTTCCATTTTATTGTTTTATTTACAAACAGGGTGAAGTCAACTGGCAAATCAGGGGTGGGAGTCAGTCAGGGCCATCCAAATGTGGAGTGGTTCCTGGATCAATCTCCACCATGAAGGCTGCCTCTTCTATCTTTTTCTTGGCCCTTGAAATTTCTCAGGGCAGCCTCACCTGCTGCTCCTGAGCCCTTTTACAAGGGCAGATGGATCCTGGGGGAACAGGGTGGTACGAGGGCTGGGGCCCCCTCAGTTTGTGTAAACCTGAGTTCCGATCACACGCATGATTTCCTTCTGTATCTTGGGGTCCTGAGTATTAATGTTGGCATCGCCCACCTGCCCATCCTCATATCTGCCAAAGACAGGGGAAGTGTGAGCACAAGGGGAAACATAATGCCAAACCATATCTACCAGCAGAAGATTTTCAGGACATGACCATTTCATCCCAAAGTCAAAGATTTTGTAACTGCTCTTCAGGATGAAGGGATTAGCTCAGCACAGACCCTAAAGGCAAAGACCCAGTGCCAACTATATTAGCAAGAGACAGGACTCAGACAACAAAAATGAATATTCTCAGTAGTCACACACCATCTACCACCCTCACTCTTCAAGTAATCTCATGGGCTCCTTTTAGACTCACACAAAGAAGAACCTTGTGCAGACATGGTCGGACACAGGGCACACCCAAATGTTTCCATGCTTCTGAAGGTCCTTAGATGTAATCACTGTGAAAAGAGGGGCCAGAAATTACAGATATGAAGCTAAAGACAGTCCAGGTAGGGAAGGAGGACAAGATGCTTCAACATAATTTTTGGCCGAATCAGCATCAGAAATAAAGGTTGGAGTTCCAAAAAGACATGAACTGTGTGAGTTACATACCTTCACAAAGTGCTATACAGTTTAGATTCCGACTCTGCAGGAACCTTGACTGAATGGATCGGGTCTGAAAGAGAAAAAGGCAGAGGAGAGCAAAGCAAGGTCAAATGTTAGAGCTTGCTCTCAACAAGCTGGTTAGTTACTGATGATGGGGATGACAAGGATAGGAACTGGGTCTCCTGAGCTCACAGCCACCCTCCAAATATTTGCTTACATATAATTACCCTGATGGGTCCACAGCTTCCATTTTCATCTTTTTATGCTTTCAGATAGCATATGCTTTCAGATAGCATATGACTGAAGTTAAGATCATTTTACAATACAGCTAGTGCCTTTAAATGATCTACAGTAGCCCTAGCTCCATTGTTCTCCTATCCATTATTTTTAGCAGGATTCAGAGAAAGGTCCTAACTCAGGCAGAACCAGCAAACAATACCTGGGGGATGGTGTTCATCCTGTTATATCTCTGGACCAGCTCATCCTTGGAAGGCATTCTGTGCTGTCCTTTGCCCATTCCTGTCACAGAACAATGAACTCAGTTAATTGATCCAGTATTTATGGAAATACTTACTATATGCCGAATACCAAATAAAGACACTTGGTGATACAGTGGTGAATAAACAAGCTATTTTCCCACACAGAATTTAGTCTGGTGGAGATTACAGGCAAGGAATAAGTAATTACAACACAGTGTGGTAAGGGTTGTGAAGGTGAGCTTATAGATCACCATGTGAACCAGGAAGGGGAACTAGCCTAGCCGGGATTTGAAGATGTCGTGGTGCAATAAGACTAAGGACCTCAGAATTAGGGAGAGTTAGTTTAATAGTGTATGGAAAGCAAAAAGACAGACCCACAGGGCTTAATTTGCGTATATTATAATGAAAGACAAAATATTATATAAAAGATGTAAACTAGGGTCAGATCAAGCAGGCTTTATGGGCTGTAAAGGCAACTGGAGTTGATCCTCTAAGAACACCAGGGAACCACTGAAGGGTTCTATTTCAGGGAAGTAACACATGAATCAGGAAAGAAGGGCCCAGCAGAGTTGGATACCAATACCTCAGAGTCAAATGATAAGCCAGAGACATGAGTTGGGAGAAAGCAAGCAGAGGAAGTACAATATGCTGTAGTTTTAAAGTTACAGATTTTCCTCTCAGGATAAAGAGAAAGCAGAGCCCTTCCAAACTGATTCTCCACAGATATTCTTCCTCATTGGAAGAATCCTACCTTCAGAAAAAGTGCCAACTCCCTCTCATTTCTATTATTATCTCAGTGCATAAATTCTCTGCCACCACCACCTCCTTTTTGTTTTTTTTTTTTTTGTTTTTTGTTTTTTGAGACAGGGTTTCTCTGTGTAACAGCCCTGGCTATCCTGGAACTCACTTAGTAGACCAGGCTGGCCTTGAACTCACAGAGATCTGCCTGCCTCTTTGTCCTAAGTGCTGGGACTAAAGGTTATGTGCCACCATGCCTAGCTTTGTTGTTGTTGTTGTTATTATTATTATTTGTTTTGTTTTGTTTGTTTTTTGTTTTTCGAGACAGGGTTTCTCAATATTGCTTTGGAGCCTGTCCTGGAACTCATTCTGTCCAGGCTGGCCTCGAACACAGAGATCTACCTGCCTCTGCCTCCCGAGTGCTGGGATTAAAGGAGTGTGCCACCAACATCTTGCTACAACACCAGCGCCTGGACATGCCTGGCTTTTTTAATCAAAAAGGTTTTTCTTCTTTTCTCTACTATTCTTAGCAATTATAGAAGAGGCCTTGTTTGTAATAGGATGAAATAGGATTTTTGCTGATGTATCAAACAGTACCCATATGCCTCCTACTCCTAACTCTTTTTGGCATAGGACAGGATTTCAGTCTGTCTCCAGGCTTATCACAATCACAGCCTTATCAGTTAGAAGCGTGTAACCAACAAGATGGGACAAAATATGAAAATGATGTTATCAATACAAGCCTTATTATAGGTTCTAATCTCACCGTTCTACTTCATTACAACTTCACTCTGCTTTAAATCTTGGGTTTGCCACTGCCTTTATATCAAAAATATAAATTAAATTTTTTCCCCATCAGAGAATTTTTTTTATTATTTAATTAAAAAAAATTACATAACAATCCAGTTTCCCCACTTCTCTTCTCCCGTCCTCCCACCTCTTCCCCATCCCACCTCCTACTCCTTCCTCAGAGAGGGTAAGGCCTCCCTTGGGGAGTCAACAAAGTCTGGCATACCAAATTGAGGCAGGACCAATCCCCCCACCCCCACCCATATCAAGGCTGAGCAAGGTATCCCACCATAAGGAAAAGGCTCCCAGAAGCTAATTCATGCACCCAGGATAAGTCCTGGTCCTACTGCCAGCTACACCCCCACAACAGATCAAGCCACATAACTGTCACCCACATTCAGAGGTCCTAGTTCAGTCTCATGCAGGTTCCCCAGCTGTCAGTCCAGAGTCTGTGAGCTTCCACTAGCTAGGGTCAGCTGTCTCTGGTTTCCCCCATCATGATCTTGACCTGGCCCTCCTTGCACATATGATTACATTTAAATTGCATTTATTATTATGTGTATTTGATGTGAGTGCAGGTGCATATGGAGGTCAGAAGACAACTTTTTGGGGTTTTATTGTTTTGTTTTTATTTGTTTGGAATTTGGTTTTGCTTGCTTTTGCTTGGGTTTTGACTTTCCAGTCACAGCTGACCTAGAATTCACTATGTAGAACAAGCTGGCCTTGAACTCATAAAGAGCACCCACCTCTGCAAGGGCTGGGATTAAGGACAACGTGTGCTACCACACCCAGCTCAGAAGACTACTTTTAAAAGATGGAAGGGATAAAACTCAGGTCATGAGGCTTGGGTATCAAGCACTTTTGCTGGCTGCACTATCTCACTAGCCTATCTTGGTTTTACAATGGCCACTGTGTACAAGTGGGAGGTGATAACTACCAAACTGAAATTCTTCACTGAGCAAGCCAGATGTCAACTCAACACAGGCTTACACTATAATCTCATAGTAAATTCATGGCCTGAACAAAACTCAGCTTGAACTGCCAATCCCTTATTCCTGTAGGACACCTTCTCCATCATCCTGAACAAGGCTCAATTCTGCATCCAAATATCATGAGATCAGCCCAGATACTTCAAAGGTAAGATTCTAAGAGAAATTCCCATTCAGGTTCTACTTCAGAGAAAGCAGGCAGGAGATGAAGAGGCGGCACTTTAAGCAACTGAACGCTTGTCCTGTCTCAAACCTATTGTACTGTCCCATTCATACTGATCCAGTGACTATTCCATTCCTGTCCTTGGACTATACTATTTGATGCTTAGAATAATCTCTGGACACTTTAAATAAAATCAATTTTATTTATTTGTTTGTTTGTTTTTGAGACAGGGTTTCTTGGTACAGCCCTGTCTGTCTTGAAATTTGCTCTGTGGATCATATTTAGAATGCATTGGACACCTACCTTGTGTAGATTAAACATGTTATTTCAAAACATTCTGACTCTAAGTGGCATATCTAAGAGGAACTGTTTGTTGCCCTGAAATGTAGGTAACATCTATTCTGTAGCACTGGGAACTGAATCTAGGGCCCAACATATGCTAGGCAAGTGTTCTACTGTGAATGACTTGCCCAGCCCAGCATTAGAACTTTCGTATTTTCACTTTTATTTGTTTTTTTTTTTTTCATCACACATAGCCCTGTTAAGTTTGATTTTGTCCATCCTTGAGCAATGTAAAAAAACATTTTGCCTTTTTCACATGTCAGGGATCTACTGTAGCATTAGAGGTACAATGGTTTTGACTTCCTCATTCTGTTCCCAGTGCCTGGGGAGTTAGACCTCTCTATATGATTGATGCAGGTTAAAATTCTCATGCTAATGAGATTCAAGATCAAAAAAGTAAAACCAGTAGGGCAATGACAATATGTTCTTGACCTCAGAAGAGCTCCCAAAAACTAGTTTTGTTTACACAGTCTTCTGCTACTTACCTACCATTTTAGTATTTACTTATTTATTATGTATTTGAATGCAAGTGCACAGATGCCACAGTTCATGTGTAGAGGCCAGAGTACAATTTTCAGAAGTCAATTCTTGACATTTCTATCTTGTTGAGACAGAGTCTCTCTTATTGTTTCTACTCTGGGCGGCTGTCAAGTTCTCAGGCAATTCTCCTATTTCTGTCACCTATGTCTCCACAGGAGTGCTGAGGTTCTAGGTACTGAACTTGGGTCATCAGACTGGTATGCCTAGCACTTTCACCTACTGAGCCATTTCCTCGGCCTGACTTGCCTATTTTTAATCAATATTACTAAGATTGTCTACATTGTTGCATGCTACTGCTTTGCTGTCCTTCATTTTCATTGCTCAATAATAACCTAGTATGATTATATAAAAATCTATTTGTCTCTTATCACAATGATGAGCTGAGCTATTTCCAAGACTTGCTGCTGCAAACAGTTTTACTGTGAGCATTCATGTACATGAGTTTGCATATACAGAAATGAAAATATTGGGTCAAAGAGATAAACTATGCAGCTTTATAAAGAAAAATCAAAAAACTTTTTTCTTGGGCTGACAAGATGGCTCAGTGGATAAAGGCACTTACTTATAACCAAGCTTCATGACCTGAGTTGTACCTCTAGAACCCTCATAGTATGAGAGGGCTAATTTCAGCAAGTAGTCCCTTTGACCTCTAAAGTACAAATATGTATGTGTACACAAACATACCCATGTGCACACACAGCACAATAAATGAGTGTTTAAGAAACCTATCTCCTGAATGGGTGATGGTGATACTCGCCTTTAATCCTAGCACTTGGAAGGCAGAGACAGGCAGATCTCAGTGAGTTCAAGGCGAGCCTAGTCTACAGAGCGAGTTCCGGGACAGGCTCCAATGCTACACAGAGAAAGAGAGAAATCTGTCTCCTACATCAATTCATATTCCTATAGAGGGTAAAAGGGATCCTATAGATTTCTACAGCCTTTGGAATAATTAGGCATTATTAAATTTCTTACCTTTTTATTGATCAAATGGGTACTAAATAACAAGTCACTTTGGTTTTTTATTTTATTTCCCTCTAGAGGTTACATAGTTTTCACATGGGGATAGGGGTTCATTTCTTCAATGGAATCATCATTTATAGAATTTTCTTGCTTTATCAATAGGTTGTGTTTGATTTAAACTTTTTTTTTTTTTTTTTAATAGCACTTGTATGCTCTACCATGTAGCATATACTAGACCTTTTTTCCCCCCAAGTCAGGGTATCTCATGTTACAGCTCTGCATGTTCTGAACCTTGCTCTGTAGACCAGGCTGGCCTCGAACTCACAAAGATCCACCTGCCTTTGCCTTTGCCACCTGCTGAGATTAAAGATGTGTGCCACCACCACCAAGCCTGGTCTTTCCTTTAAAAACTGCAATAAGGCCTGGCAGTGGTGGCCCATACCTTTAGTCCCAGCACTCAAGAGGCAGAGACAGGTGGATCTCTGTTAGTTTGGGGTCAACCTAGTCTACAAAATGAGTTCTAGGACAGGCTCCAAAGCTGTCTCAAAATCCTGTCTCAAATTAAAAAAAAAAAAAAAAAAACAAAAGAACAAACCCAAACTAAAAAACAAAAACAACAAAAAACTGAGATAAGGTCTTAAATTATCCATGCCATCCCTGAAGTAGCTATTTAGTCCAGGAAGGCTGTTAACTTGTGATCTTTTTGTTTCAGCTCCCTAAGACACAACTGTATGCCACCACACCTGAATAAGAAATTTTAAGATACACTTTATTAATATGTACATAAAGTATTATGTACATAACTGTGTACCATGTGCATATCCTCAGAGAGCAGAAGAGGATGTCGAATCACCTGAAACTAGAGTTATATAAGGTTGTAAGCTGTTGTGTGGGTGCTGGGAACTGCACCTGGGTTCTTTGGAAAAGCAATAAGAGCTCTTAACTACTGAGCCATCTCTCCAGCAAAATTTAAATATATTTTATGATTACTCTTTTTTTTAATGCATTTTACAAGTATCTTCTCCAAGTTTTTACCCTGTCATTACTTTACCTTTACAATATACTCTTTTGAATTGGATGCTTTAGTTTCAACCAGATCTGACAAATTTTTTATTATTTCCCTTTTCCTTTCTCTACATTTTTGTTTAAGATTAAAACAATCTGCTCCTTGATAGTTTAAGACTCACAACACTATGGGGAGAGAGGAATAATTCAGAGGGTTCCATGCCAGACAAAAAAACAAACAAAACCCCCAAATACTATTTGGCCTTGGTTGTCTACCATGTTTTTATTTTCTTTAAGTCAGTTAAACTAAGTTAACTAAGTAAACTAACTTTTCTAAGCATTTTGTCAAAAGGTTTCAATTTATTGATAGAACATTTAAAGATTTTTCTCCTAAGCTTAAAAAAAAAAAAAAAAGTACACTTGTAGTTATGCTGGCCTTTTTGTTCACATCTGTGTCCATTCTTAAACTAACCTGATTTGCTTACTGTAAGGATTGAGGCATTATGCTGGCCTGCCCCTATCACCTGGCAGAACACACTCAGGCAGTACTCTGATCAGCCCAGGGTTCCATGAGTACTAGTCTGCAGGCAGGTGTAAAGGGCCCCTTTAAAAGACAGACCCCCGCCCACTTACAATCTCTTTGCTTTTTTTTTTTGCTCTTTTGCGCTTGCTCCTCACCTCTCTCTCCTCTCTTCTGTGCCCAATGCCTCTATGTCTCTTTTCCCTTCTCCCTTATTCCCCCTTCTAAATAAACTTCTCACTTAAGCTCTGTCTGCCTGGCGTGTTATGCCCTCTGCCTTGAACACCCTCACCTACTATGGAACCTGTTATGCTCTCCCACGAGGTCCCTTACCTTGGGACCCTCACTCAGGACACCGCCTCACGTCTCCAGCTTTATCCTATAACTCTAACAAAAGAACAACATCTACCAGTTGTTTTTGTTTTGCTGTCTCACTGCATATGCTAGGCAAGGACTGTACCACTAAAGCTACATCTTGGTCCCTCATTTTGTTAATTTGTTTGTTTTTTGAAACAGTGTTTCATTGTGTAATCAATAAGGGCCTGGAAATTACAATGTAACTCAGATTGCCCTTGAACTCATAGGGACCCTCCGGTTTGCCTCTTGAGGGCTGGGATCAAAGGCAATGAATAACCATACCCAACGTTTGACTTTTTCAGTCCCGTCCTACAGTGTCTGTATTAGCTCACTGGTTTTCCTTTGTTATATCATTGCTTTTTTTTTTTTGGGTAGTACTGGAGATTGACCTTAAAGCTTCATGTATGATAAGAAACACTTGGCTGGGTGGGGGTAGCACATGCCTTTAGTCCCAGCATTTGGGAGGCAGAGGCAGACAGATCTCTGTGAATTCAAGGCCAGCGTGCTCTACAAAGCTACACAGACAAACCCTGTCTTGAAAAATTAAAAGAGAGAACACTACCACGGACCTACATCCCTAGGCATTTTACGAATTTATTTTGAGACAAGATCTCAATAAGTTGCCCAAGCTGACCCCAAACTCATGATCCTCTTGTGTCAGCCTCCTGAATATCTGGGAAAACACACACACACACACACACACACACACACACACACACACACACACACACGTACGCACACACGCACGCACATGCACAAAGCACACGTACAACATCATAACTAGATTATTAGTTTCAAGACAGGGTTTCTCTGTGCATCCTTGGCCATACTGAAATGCATACATTAAGTAGAATAGGCTGGCCTTTATCTCTCAGAGATCTGTCTGCCTCTGCCACCCAAGTACTGGGATTAAAGTTGTGTGCCACTACTGCCTGTCTTTAGTTCTGTGATTCTAGATAAAAGGGTTTTTGTTTTTTTTTTTAATTTTATTTCTATAATGGCTGTAATTACTGAAAATACTAAACAATAATCTATAAAAAATACTAGTATAATTGCTTTCCTATAGTGGACATGCAACTGCTTGGTATGACTCCATTGAACAAGAACAAAAGCAGATCAAAGAGAAACTATTATAATAGTGTGTTTAGAGACCATTTAAAATTCAAAAGGTAGTTGAGGAAGAGAATATCTCCAAAAATATAAACACATTCTAAGACCCCCCCCCAACATTCAAGAATAGTCACACATGAATTCACATATATGCATATAATTTGTAATTGCTCGTATCAAAAATGTAGCTTATATGGGCATGATGGCACATGTTTGTAATTCCAGTAGTTAGGAGGATCAGGAGTTCAAAGTCATCTTTGTATGCACACTGAGTTCAAGGACAGCATGAACTACACAAGCCAGTCTTGAAAAAAGACGATAATCTTTTTTGCTTTCCATTTATTCGTTAATCCATCCCCAGGGCCTAGTTCCTACCGTGTATAAAACCACCATTTTTTTTTTTTTTTTTACAATAATTACCCTGGCCTCATAATCTAAATTTCTAATGAGAGAAAATAGAAAGACAGACTATATATCCATGATTGGGGAGGGTGCTGACAAAAACCAAGTATCCATGATGGGAGAGGACAGCACACATCATATATTCACAAATGGATGCAATTTAAAGAGTCAAGGTAGCCAAAGAAAATTGCTTACCTGAGTATCCAAAGGAAATACTGGAGATGGGGCTCAGGTAGATGCCTTTGCCATAGGCTGCTCCATGCAGCTTGCAGGGAAACACCAGGATGAATATATGAGCCTGGGCCCCCCATGGCTGTATATTAGGCATCTGTAACACTATGTAGTCCTTTGTCCCTCCTTTTATCTACCTTCTCACTCATTCAAATAACTCTAGGCATCTACTTTTGAAAAGCTGATTGGCTGAAAAGTGGATTAAGTTAAACTGCATACTTATAAAATACTAAAGATTAATGCCTTGGAAAACAGGGAGTAGCAGAGCCACTGAGTCACTGCCTCAGCATTTATATTTATGACCTCAAGCCTTCATACATTTTCAGATTCTCAAACAAAGGAACTATGGAAGAGGTAGCAGGAAGAGGAAAACCACTCCCAGTAGTTTCTCAGGGGAATGAAATAAGTCTTTGTAACAACTTGAATAGCCACAAAATGGAAGGTCTCTATTATAACAGGTTAATTTCTATTCCCTAAACAACCAAAAAACACAGCTCAACTTAAAGTATACAACAGTCATATTCATTCTATATTTACAATGCCAACTTTGTCTGTAGGCAGGCTCTATTTTACTCAAGATAAGTTAAGCATGATGATGCTGAGGCATGAACAGACAGATACTCAAGCACTTCAGAGCAGACTACCATAAGCTGAGCAAAGTAGGGAATGGGAAGAAAGGAGAAAAGGACACAGCCTCACCTGCAGTTTGGTGTAGGATGCATTGACCAGCCCATTGCGCAGGATTGAATGCCAGTTCTCAATGTGGGACCCACTGTAAGGCAGGATAGAATCTATGTCCCCTCAAGGTATGAGAGTCTTAGGACTACTTCCAAGCCTTTCATTACCACCCCCTTACCCACAGTACATGCAGATGGGGACACACACCTAATGACTGACATGTTCACAGATATAGCTATATAGGCAGCAAGATGTGTGTGTGTGTATGTGTGTGTGTGTGTATGTATGCATGTGTGGTTAAACCTTACATCTCTTGTTTTCAACTAACCACATCCTAAACCCTCAACTAGTGGCTCAGTATTTTCATTTGCATATATTCCTGATGCTTCAAATTCAATAAATTCATCTCAAATTCAATAAATTTATCACTGATCTCAAATATGGCTTCTGGTCCAGAAGTCACATTGTATTTTTTAAAGAAGCACTAAGACTCCCTCTGAAATACCCTTAATACGGTTGTTCTCTTTCTTCCCTCCCACAATTTAATAAAACAAGGACCTATTATCCTATCCCACCTACTGTGGCCCAGTTTCCACCATCCTTACTGGAAGGCAAAGGTGCTTCCGTACAGCTTCTTGGCGGTCCGGAACCGAGCCTCCTTGGCAGGAGGGCTGCTCAGCAGGAGGAATTGGTGTGAGGTGTGCATGAACTTCAGCTGCTGCCCAGGGTGGGGGTAGGATAAAAAAAAAAAAAACAGAACAGAAATAGAGATCAGGGAGGGAAAGGTTGGAAACAAGAAACAAATTAGATTTACACTAACCCCAAACAAGGGAAATATGTTTAGGCTCAAAGACTATGCTGATGAACTGGCTGTTGGTGGTGCACGCCTTTAATCCTACTAGCACTTGGGAGGCAGAGGCAGGTGGATCTCTATGAGTTCGAGGCCAACCTGGTCTACAGAGTGAGTTCCAGGAAAGGTTCCAAAACAATACAGAGAAACCCTGTCTTGAAAACAAAACAAAAAACAAAAACAAAAAACTATGCTGATGGACAAACAGTACCAACCAAGCTAGTAAGGGACCAATACAGTCAGTGGGCATAGGGCCCTTCTTTGCCTCTCACTAGAAGTTTGAAGCTTACAGTGGGACAATAATTACTTACCCTGCTGAGAGGTAGTTTGACAATATGTGACCTGTTGCTAGAAATTATCCTGGGGAAGAAACAGAAAAAGGGAAGGGACAAAATAAGTATGTGGTGAAGTTATCCTGAAAAAGCAACTTTCCTCTAATCTAGCTCCTGCACATAAGATGCCAATGTCTGAATTGTGTGATTATTTCCAGGCCATAGCTGATATTTCTTTGAAGTGATAATGCTTATATAGAAATTATGTATGTTATTATATAGATTTGAAAGGGAAGCTACCAACCAGACCAGTTAGTTATCAAGAAACTGATTAACATGTTTTTAAAAAAAAAAAAAAAGTCAGGGGGAAGGCTGACAACTAGGGAGAAAAAAGCATAGAACAAAAAGTTGAGTTCCAGGACATACAGGGCTACACAAAGAAACTCTGGTTTGAAAACTAAACAAAACAAAACAAAACAAAAAGAATCACAAACAAACAAACAGTATCAGAAGTTACCAATTGGAGACAGAGGTCTGAATCAAAAAAATAGTTAAATGTGTGTCTGGGTTTTAAAGTCTCAAAACTGAGGCTCAGGAGCCAACCTGCTTAAGCTCAAAGGAACCCTAAAGGACCTTAGTGATGGAAAAACAAACACTATATAGACTGGAGGGAAGAATCCCAAAGAATTAGAATTAACTTCCTCAGGAGTCAAGGACAGATTAGGCTATATATAGGCTGAACATAAAGGGTAGGAGAACAAAAGCATAAAACAATGAGGGTTCAGCAATAACATTATATCCTACAGTGGATACAGTGTTTCTGCATACAGTGAGGTTGTTTAAATTTTTGTGTATGTATATGCAAGTGTGCATTGAGCAGGTGGTGCATATACATGTGTGCCCATGGAGTTCACAGTCAACCTCAGGTGTTGTTCTTTAGGAAATGTTCACCTTGTTTTTAGAAACAAGTCTTTAACTGGGACCTGGGGCTCATTGATTAGACTACTCTGGCTGGTTAGTGAGCCCCAGAGACCAGCCTCTTTGCTTCCCAGTGCTGCGATTACAAGTGTATACCATCATGCCTGGCTTTTTTGTGAATGCCAGGGATCACACTCAGGTCCTCAACTAAGCAATCTCCCCAGGCTCTCAACCTAACTTACAATGGTACTTTAGAAAGCCTATGTCTGGTAATTACTCATGCTATGTATGAGGGGATAATCTACTGCACTGGCTTCTTAGTGTCGGGCTGACTTGGAAGGAGGCAAACTAGAAAGATATGTTGTCATGTAACAAAAGAGAAATCAGCAGGTGGGAGGGGGAGTGATGGAGCAGTCCAATTCTTTGCTAGCAGGAGGAAACAACAGTGCATCTGGCTCTAGCCACTCTTCATCAGGGAAGGAAAGAGCAAGTAGAGATGAATTTCTTTGGACACCCAGAAAACTAAGCTGAAATGAACAGTGTAAGAAAACCTAAAAACCTACTAATGACAACTATAATTAATAAGATTAAATTTTTGAAAATTGCTGAGCCATCATGGGCAATATCCTAGCACTCAAAAACTAACGTGAGCCATTACATAATGCATGTTGACCATGACAAATACACAGACTTAAAAAAAAAAAAAAAAATCTTATAATTAAAAGATGTAAGAAAACAAATATTTGGGGAAATATGGAATACCTGAAGAGAACCAGAGAAATCATGTCAGAATTTGTGACCTTTGTAGTTACTGTCAAGTCAAGGCTTGTCAGCAAAACAAGAAAAAGTAGTCATAATCTAGAACCTTGTAAAGAATGCTGAAATGCCTCTAGGAGAAGGTATAGATCTATTCCCTATAACTCTTTCCTTCCCAACCCCCTATGAAGCCTGAGCCATTCTATCCATACCACTGCAGAAGAGGATGGGCCAAGGGATCCAGCTTGTCCATCTGTTTCTTGATTTCCAAATATGAGCCCTGTAAGACAATGACCTTAAGATTATCTCCCAGGAGAGGAAGGACCCCTCCCACTCTCTACAGACTACTGGGACCCAAGGCAAGATAGATAATTGGAAGAACTAAGTCAAGGGGATTCCCACCCTTAAGGAGGCCCAGCTAAGTTTGCAAGACTTATAAATATGAAAATGACTGAAGATGCTTACAAAACAACATGCAGGTGGGTCTCCCTCATTTTATGCAACTCCTACAGCTCTAAAAATGCTGCTTAATAAATCAAAAAATAAATAAAATCAATGTCCCCCAAAGATTAGGCTAAAGAATCCTGTGGAAAATCTTCACATAAAACAGCCTTTTAAATAGTAAATCTCCCCTTCTAGGTGTACCTTCTGTGTTAATCTGCACTGTGATATATAGGATTTGCTGAGAAGAGGCCCACCTGTAAATATGAGTACAAATGAATGTCTATTCATGCAGAGACTGCAGACGAGGGGTGGGGAAATCTGGTGAGGGACAGCCTTGAGTCAAAGGATGATCACTGCTCCATGTGGCTGCCCCACCCCTAGAAGGACAGAAGATGCAGTCCCTGGATCTAGCTCCTTATCTCCAAGCAACCTCTTCATCCTCCCAAACTTGGGCAGAGGTCTTTCCCTAGCTTCTCTAATTACCCAAGAACTATGAAAAAAAGTTAAAACATGAACAACTTGTGAAGGAATCTGCAGCAAAGACAAAGGTTGAGAGAGACACTAGGAGTGAAGAAAATTAGGGTAAGAAAGCTAACGAGAGAGAACAAGAACTGGGAAGGTTACAAACAGAACATAAAGAAAACATGAATTTGAGTAGCTTCTCTAAATCTTCACCCTAGTCCTGTGAATTACAAGCAGGAAAGGGTGTTGAGCTAAGCAAAGAGAAGGCAAAATACCTGGGTCATCTCCCGAATGGACATCACGCTATCCAGAGCTTTCTGAAGCCGCTCATAATTCTTCTTCTGTTGATAATGAATGGGAAGAAAAGAATTAGAAGAAGAAAAATAGCAGATACAATGATACAATGGTTAAAAAAAAAAAAGAAAAAGAGATGAGTTTAAGTCTAGACTCAAGTGTGCCATTGAAAAACAAACTTCATCAGGAAACTTTTTAATAGTTGTATACTAGTCCTTTTACAAGTTCTAATTAATGGGTAAGTCACTGAACACCTTCAAGTATTACAAAGCCCAATTTGCAAATGACAGGGGTGTTCTGCTTGTTTGATGTTTACATATCAGGATTCTGGTGATGCTAGGGGCTGAACCTATGATCTCATACTTGATGTTAAGTGTTCTACACTGAGCTATACTCTAGTCCCTATTTGAACTAAAAATAGTATTTCTGTGGCCATCCTCAGAATTAAATAAACATATAAATCTAATATTGTGCCCAATATATAGTGCTGACAGATAACAATGAGGCTCTGTGATATACAGTATTGGATTATTTTAGAAGTAAATTTGAAAACTGGTGGTACATACCTTCAACCCCAGCACTCAGGACGCAGAAGCAGGCATCTCAAGTCAAGGCCAGCCTGGTCTACAGAGTAAGTTCTAGGACAACCAAGACTACACAGAGAAACCCTGACTCGAAACCCCATCCCCCTGCTGCTGCCCTAAAGAAGTCAAATTGAATAGGTTACAGGGTACCTACTTATTTGGTCTAAGAAGGTTTCTGGGTTTGTCTGTGAAGGTGTTTGGGGGTTCAGCTTAAAAGATTAATGAATAGACTAGGCAAAGCTGATTGCTCTCCTTAATAAGGATCTCATCTAGCCAAATAAAGACCTAAATAGAATAAGAACTATTCTCAGTCCTAGTCCTTGAATAAAAAGGCATTCTTCACAAGTTGGTGAATCAGCCTTTCTCTGGCTTTAGATTTGAATGAATTACAACACTGACCCCTGTGGGTCATAAACCTAAATGGTTCAGGCCTCTGAACTGGAACTGGAACATCATTCATCATAGGCTCTCAAGAGAAGGTTTCCAGCTTGCTGACAGCAGATGTGGAGACTTCTCAGTCTCCCTAATTAGGTGGGACCATTCTTCATAAAAAATCCTCCCTCTGTAATTCACATGTAAATAAATGGAATATATTTATAGTTACCCACAGCCTATTAGCTGTTTCTCCAGAGAACCCCATAGGATATTTTATATGTATTATCTCTCACTACTACCCCCTTTTACAAACAGGGCAGTTGAAACTGAAAAACATTAAGTACCTTCCCTAGCACTGTATCTACTAGGAAGCCAAAGACCCTCTGGTGGAATCCAGGTCAGGCTGGCTCCCATCAAGCCTATTCCTTTCATTGTTGTTTTGTTTTACTTTCCTCCCAGTCATAACCTCATTTTTAGAGTAAGATAGCCTGAAATTTACTATGTAGTCCAGGCTAGCCTTAAACACCAAGCAATTCTCCTCCCTCAGTCTTCCAAGTGCTGGGATTCCAAGCATAAGCCACCACATCCAGGCCAAGTCTATATTCTTTCCATCAGGATATTAACAGGTAGTAATTTTCCTTCCCTTCTTTTGACAAGCCCAGCTATTTCATCAGATTAACCCCAGAGTTCAAGAATATGCAAGAAAAAAGTGTTCCATTTCTTCTGTCCTAAATTCATCTGTTGTGTGTACTGGAATGACAACCCAACTTCCCACCGTTTACCACTTCTGTTCCTTAGCCCTTTCCTTGAAAGCAACTATACCTTAGGATTAAAGGCTAGAGTCTTGGGATCAGTGGGGTCCACCACAGAAGGATAAGGCTCGAAGATGATGCTCTTTCTAGGGGACTCCAAAGCAGCTCTGCACATGGCCACCAGTAGATCTACCACCTTAGGAGAAAAGGAAGGGGGAGAACTAAACGACTGCCCAAATCTGGGAGTTAAGTGGTCTCCAGATTGTCCACCATCCCTTTTAAAGCAAATGTTTTCATGGCTTTTCTAAATAGAAAATACTAAATTATAAACATTCAAATACTAGGGCTAGAAAGATGACTCGGTGGCTAAGAATACTTGATGCTCTTGCAGAAGACCAGGGTTCAGTTCCCAGGATCCACATGACAATTCAAAACAGTCTGCAGTTCCAATTCTAGAGAACCTGAAACACTTTCTGACCTCTATGGACATCAGATACCCACATGGTACACATACATATACAAAAATAAAAATAAGTCTTTACCTAAAGTTTAAATACTGGCAAAATGATTAAAGAAAAGAGATACCATCTCCAATCCAAACAAATTCATCTGCTCCCACGTAATTACAAAATTTGAAGGATATCCTTCCAGATACTTTGATATACAAATAGTTATCTGTTCTTTCATTCTTGGGCAAAGGGCAGGGGGAATGGAGGGAGGATGAACTGTGGAATTCATCTTATGCTAAGCATTTGCATCTTTTGAACTTAAGTAATCCTCCTGCTTCCGCTCTCCAAGCAATTAGAAAGCTAAAGGAACATGCCATCACAACCTGACTTGGTATTTGATTTTGGACATAACTGTATATTAATTTATGTGTATAGATAGTAGCTGTTCAGTACTTTCTTTCTTTTCTTTTTTGTTTTGTTTTTTGAAGACAGGGTTTCTCTGTATTGCTTTCGAGCCTGTCCTGGAACAAGTTCTGTAGACCAGACTAGACTCGAACTCACAGAGATCCACCTGCCTTTGCCTCCTGAGTGCTGGGATTAGAGGCATGCACCACCAACGACCGGCTCAGTACTTTCAATGTAAGCATATGCCATCATTTGGATGAACCTCCTACAGAGTCCATTTATTCATTTTAGTTTTATTATGAGCTTTATACTTTAGTAAGCATCATTAAACATGAAAGCATATTTGGAGATTAAATTCTAAGGAGTGAAATTGCTGGCTTCCTTTTGTTTGTTTTGCTTTGAGATAGGGTCTTACTATGTAGTTCTGGCTGACCTCGAACTCAAGAGATCCTTTTGCCTCTGTCTCCTAAGTGCCCAGATTAAAGGCACTGACATCATACCTGGCCTCTTTTACTTTTCTTGATCCCAATTCCCCAGTGTCCTTTTCGTCCCTCATACCTCTGCTCCAGTAGCCACCTCCTCTGCAGCTCCAGACATGACTCCCAGTGTGTAGAAGGAGAAGACACATAGTTCACGGGTACAGACAGCTGGCTGAAGGAACATATTAAACAGACAGGATGAGTATGGGTTGTGTATGGAGAAGACATAAGAAGTGAGTTGTGTGTTGAGAAGAAATGTGTGTGTATTGAAGGGGACTATCAATCAAAATTTAAATGCCTTACTGGTAAGGCTGAGTGATCTTTCTACCTATAAAATTCTCTGTGGTCATTAAGGTAGTAGATGTTCTCTCTTCTGAGTTTCCAGAGCACTGTTCCTTGCTGGTAAATATATACAAATAGATTATATTCTATAGCTAAGTGTTCTGGCTACCCACCCAGATTTGGGAACAGTCAATTACACCCTTGCCATTACTAGATCCCTGTATATAAATGTAGGTGTGAATAGTGTCCTCAAAATTATTTTTATACCCTTATCTCTCCGGAGAGGATTACTGAAATTTATTTTCTGAGGAAACAATTATTTCTAGAAGTCAACAGGACTTTCCTTTACTACAGCCCTAGGAAGAAAGGAGAGATAGGAAGCAAAAGGCCTTGGCCAAGTAAGAGGGTCAGAGCAGAGGCCTATACCTTAAGCATGGACCCATTCTGGAAGACATGCTGCTCATCACACACCACACAGTACTCATTCAATGTTGGAATCCTCTGCTCTGCATACTTCATGATCTGGAGAGAGAAAAGAGTCCACATCTTTTGGAAGTACAGAAGTTTTTCATGTTGTTTTGGAGATAATGGAAATAATTGAATCTTTTCTAGCTTAGATTCTAAACTTACACTGCCCTACTACACTGCTAATCCTTTATGATACCAAACAAGTAGACCAGAATGATCTTTGACATAGAAGTCTTGAGTTAACATTCCACATCTACTATTTACTTTTAAATGTAACTAGGCAAGTCAGATGTTTAGCCTTGTTTCTTCATTTATAAAGTAGGACACTATGCACCTTTATAAGTATACTACAAAAAATGAAATCTGCCCATGAAAGTATTTAAATTTGGGAGGTGACATCAAGCCTCTCAACCGGAGTTCCTGGGACAAATATGTAGAAAGAGAGAACAAACTACCACAAGCTATCTTCTGACCTCCACACAAGTGCTGTGGTACACATGTGTGCATGCATACGAGAGCGTGCGCGTGTGCGCACATACACACACACACACACACACACATTCTCTCTCTCTCCCTTTCACTCCCCCTCTAATTAATTAAATTTGAAAAATAAAATTTTTCTGTTAGTCTTCATCTTTATGTAATGAGAGGTGGGGACATGGATCACAAGACAAATGTGGAGGTCACAGGACAACTTTGTGGAGTTAGTTCTCCTCTTGCGCCTTTACAGGCATTCTGGGGTGTGAACTCAAGTTGTCAGACTTACATAGCAAGTGCTTTAACCAGCTAAGTCATTTCACAGGTTCTCATAAAAGTAGTTTATAACTAGGTACTAATTAGTCAGATACAATGGCTGTAGTTGTTACAGACTTTCTATTTGTGGCATGTGAGTATTCAATCCAAGATTGGATGCTGGAGGGCAGGGTTTAAGTCATTTCTACCACCTAGGACAATGAAGCTATCTCCTAGTCAAACACACACACATGCATACATGCTCTGTGGAATAAAGATGGCACAAATCCAGAGCTCTTGCAATAGTATCTTAAACTATTTGGTTTTAAATTTTTATTTACTTAACACTCACTTAACTTGTTCTTGTGTATAAATCAAGCTGTAAACATGTTTATGGGCTGGTTTTTAAGCCTGTAAGTCAGTGGTTCTAAGCCTGGGGGGAGGGGATCAAATGATACTTTTACAGGGACAGCAGATCACATATCTTACATATCAGATATTTACATTATAGTTCATAACAGTAGCAAAATTATAGTTATGAAGGAGCAACAATAATAATTTTATGGTTGGAATCACCACAACATGAGAAAAAACTGTATTAAGAGGTCACAGCATTAGGAAGGTTGAGAACCATTGTCGTAAGTGTTCCTGGTAATGCAGTGACCCTAATCTATGCCTTCGCTTTTGTCAATTCAATCAATAATCAGTATAGTTCTGGGGACAAATCAATGCAGTAAATAACTGGCTTCAGAGCTAGGGGTTAGGCAGTTTGACAGGTGAGCAACAGGGAAGAGCCTTGGAAAAGCTCTGAACTTGATTACCTGGACAAGGAATCCATACTCCAGAGTGGGGATGTTCTTGCAGTGACCACTGACCTAGTAAGAATTCAAGACAGAGTCTATGAGTTTTCTTTATATAAAGTGGGTCCCAAACACCTCTTTCACACCCTCATCTAGGATTCCCCTAAAATGCCTAAGCCTTAATTTAGATCAGCCTAAGTAATCACAAAGCTGGAGAGATTTTTAGAAGTTTTTGTCAAAGATTCTGGAAAAATTCATCTGTCTTTAACCCACTTCAAAGTTAGAATAGGTTAAAACAACAGATGACTACCAAGTTGTAACCATAACCTAACTATATTATACATGACTTCTTGGCATGCCAATCTTCAGACTCTGCTTTTTAAACAACTATCAGACATGATAAATTACATATTTAATTACATATATTTAGATATAATTAAATTATATTTAGATGGAATTAAAAACTATTCCATTCTATACATTCATGATATATTTCTGGACTTGACTGGATAGCTCTACCCCCAACCCCTTTGAAAAGTTATTCCCCTATATTTCCATCCCCACCCTCCTGATGCCCCATCACACCATACCCAGCCCATGTACCAAAGGAGAAGTCCGTGCTGGGGGAGGGAGGCCCACGTGCTGGGGGCACAGGAGACCTGCCTGGGGGCTGGGGGGATAGCCAAACACCTCTACTTTGGGGTTCTTCATGGTGCAAGAAATGGAACGATTCATAAGGCGTCCAACTCGAAGTTCTGGTACACCCAGTTTGCCTTTTAGCATGGAGTCCTGTATGACAGGAAAACTGGGAGACCTGCAGAAAAAGAGCAAAGAAAAGGTAATGAAACTGGGAATTCATTGAGTTATAGAAGAGAATTAGAGAAAAGAACATCATAGGCCAGAAATGGTCATAAATTCAAGGGAATAGTCTATTGTTATCTTAAATAATGGCGAAAGAGAATAATAAATCACATTATCTGTATGTTCTTCATATCATTATCTGTATGTTCTTCAGGTTGTGGCACAGAAAAGGCAGAGGTGGAGCCTAGGGCACTATGTCACTAAGACTAAATATGACTAAGTATATTCCTTAAAAATGATATGATAATTTTTTTAAAAGATTTATTTATTTATTTATTTATTTATTTATTTATTTATTTATTTATAAGTGCTCTGTCTGCATGTACATATGAGTGCCAGAAGAGGGCACCAGATCTCATTATAGATGATTGTGAGCCACTGTGTGGTTACTGGAATTTGAACTCAGGACCTCTGGAAGAGTAGTCAGTGCTCTTAACCACTGAGCCATCTCTCCAGCCTGATATGATCTTTTTTTTTTTTTTTTTTTTTTTTTTTTTTGTGAGAGAAAAGGACTAATCATTCAACACCATGCTAGGCAAGTACTTGCATCCTAAACCTTGCCTAATATTGACTCTCCAACCATCAATAGTAGTCTGTGAGACACAATAAATCTAACTTTGTGTTCACCTTTGGAGAATCAGAAGACACCAAAGTATAGAAATGTAGAGCCAGGTCAAAGAATGGAGCAATGTTTATTTCCAGAGCCCAGGTATCAGTACATCCTACATAAAAGCAAGAAGTTAGTGTCTATTACTCTGCTTCTTTATGACAAGAAACAAGAATGAAAGCTGAAGATAAGATGGAAAAATAAAGGGCTGGAAAGTTGGCTCAGTAGTTCTTGCAGAGGATCTGGGTTTGATTCCAAGCATCCACAAGGCAGCTTACAGCCATCTGTTACTAAAATTCCAAAGGATTCAACAACCTCCTCTGGCCTCTGAGGGCAACACACACACATATATTGCAAGAAAAATACCTATAAGCATAAAGAGTTTTCTAAAATGATGGAAAAATAATACACATGCCTCCAAAAGCTAGGCACTGTCCTTTTACAAAAGGGATGAGTTATAAATATTGAATCTAAGCAGGAAGGTAAGGATACAAAGAGGACCAGGACCATGTGTTATTATTAGTAGTAAAAGGTACAGAATTTAGTGAACTCGGAGAAAAGACAGAAGAAATTAATTTAGGTATTCAAGGTGACAAGACATATATTTGGAAATGATCAACTCTAGGGAAATATTTACTTAGGAATGGGTGAGAAGATGCTGAGGCCAGCTCGGAACTTCTTGATGGTACCACTTGCTTTGAACCAACTGTGCCTCTTTTCCTGCTGGGTCTTCAGGAAATCATTGCTCAGATGTTTCCATTGTTGGGATGTAAACATACCCAGGATCCTAGGAAATCAAGAGTATTAGAAAAGATCAGGGAGAAAAGGACAAAGAGAGGAAACTAATCTACACAAGAGAAGACAAGAATACTGTGACTCCAGGCTGTTGATTCCACTTTTCTTTAAATGTTAGGTAATGATGAGCTTTTCTTTGAATTTCTAGAAAATGTCATATCAAGCGCCCAAAAACATAGGCTTCCCCTCCACAACCATAAATTTGGCTACTCATATTTGTGTTGTTATTGGCTTTTTGAGACATGGTTTCTCTATGTAGTTCTGGCTGTCCTGGAACTTGCTCTGTAGACCAAGCTGTACTTGAATTCACAGGGATCTGCCTTCCTCTGCCTCCCAAGTGCTGCAATTAAAGGTGTGTGTATTACCATTGTCTGGCCCGGCTTCCCAAATTTATTTTAACTTTTCTAGCAATATTTGAGAAGGACATTTTTGGAAGAAAACATGATGTTCAAAGCTTTCACACATTTGTTAGTATAGTCTGGATTATGACTGTCTCCCAAAGGTTAATATGTTGATGAAGCCTTGCAACACTATTGGGAAGTGGTGCAATGTTTACGAAGTAGACTTGGTGTAAGGAGGTTAAGTCACTGAAGGCATGCCCTTGCAGAGGATATTGGTACTCAGAACCCTCATGTGTCTGTCTGCCTGTCTGTCTTTTTGTATGTCTGTGTTTGCCAGCCACAATGTAAGGTGAACAGGCCCCTTCTACCACATGCTTCCATAATGACATACCGACTGTCAAACACATAAATAGGGTCAAACTACTGTGGGCTGAAACCTACAAATTGTGAGCTAAAATAAAATTTTCTTTCTTCTATGTTGAATAGTTCAGGTATTTTGTAACAGAAATGGAAAGTTGACTAAGATACATATATTTCAATACTTTTCCTTCACATATCCACGAACAACAAAACAAAGTTCTTACTTTTTTAACTGAAGACCTAACCCAAACCCTTCCTTATTCGATGGCTGGAAAACCTCAATTGATGGTTCTGAAAAGAGAAAAGAAAGTTTCCAATAACGTACATACCTCTGATCTCCACAAAGTCCAAAGTCACAGTTCAGTATGATAGCTTCCTCAGATTCTAGACACAGTAGCTATTAGATACTCTCAGGCATATCAGGCACTTAAGGACAGCCATGAATGTGGTGAATATAAATTGTAATTTACTTAAAACATCATGAGAATTTTGCAATTTTTTTTTTTTTTTGGTAACTCAATTGCTCAGTTCTTAAGTGTAGATTTTGAAGAGAACCATGTGTTGGAATGTCAACAAGCTGGACATGCCCGCACAGTGGTAAAAGAAAACAACAGTAAATTCTAGAAGCTACTTGACAATTTTCAAATACTTTTAGTAGGAAGTTGAGAGGTTTGGATAAGAATAAATATCTTTAAGTCAGAGAAAAAAATTTCACAAATCAGAAGAAGGCTATGATGAGCACACTAATGACAAGAAACAGAAAATAAAAGGTGAGCACAAAGGTCTTTTTTACAGTTTTATTTCTACTTCAGTTAACTTAGGACTTTGAATCAGACCATACTCAGATTACCCACTTGCCCAAAGTAACTGCCTTTACCTGGTCCATCGAGGTACTGGGAAAGAGAAAACCGTAGCCTCAACACAATAGGTTCTGTTCGAAGGACCTTCCAAGCTGTAGATACTTCCTCCTAAGAGAGTAAAAGGAATTGCTTCTGGTTTACAACAGAGAGAAATGGACTAGAAGTTTCTTCTATATGACACACATGCATATGCACATAATAGTACACACCACTGTCTGTTGATGGTCTAGGAAAGACAGAGATGAAGACTATATGCTCCAAATGCTCAAGTACAAGACACAAGGCCTACATGAAAAAAACCTATAAGGCAAGCTACACATGCTGTTGGCACCACTTACATCGAGGAAGCTGATGTTGATATGGAGGTCAATGTCCACATCATCAATAGTTCCATATTCTCTACAGAGACACAGGCAACCACAGGTGAGGCTCGTTAAGAGAGAAAGGAATAGAGAGGTAAAAAAAGGATAGAAGAACTAACCCTGGAAACAGGAGAAAGGGTGGAAGGTAGCTCCATACTTAAGATCTTAGCTACATATTAGACCACTTATGCCCACAGCCCTTCTTACCTCAAAGGAATTTAGTGGTACAGAGGTATTTAGAATGAGAAGGAATAGCTAATAAAATAGTTTTAACTCCTATACCCTATGGCCAACCATGTTTAAATACTCTGAGCAACCTTCTATTGCTAAACTCATACATCACACCATCAAAAAGAAACTCTAGCCTTTTAAAGATCCTTGTCATCCGAAAGTGGAGTCCCACCTGATGGACACAGAGTTCTCACTGTAGATCTCCTTCACTGCTTCAATGTCTGCATCAAGCTGTGGGTGTCTATACAGGTCAGCTGCACAGCTCCCCTGATATAGCATTAAAATATTGATGGTAGCAAGGGTAAAAAGAGAGTAACAAAAAGGAAGAAAAAAAGAATAAAGACAACATGAAGATACCCCAGGAACAGAAAAAAGCAAAGTGCAGCATATAGGCTCTCGGTGGTAACCCTAGCACAAATTTCAGGGAACAAGTCTCTCTCTACCCCGGTATAAGAAAGTTTCAGCAGGTCAACAGGCAGGCTTTGCTAAAAAAAAGTTCATATTATCAAGCTCTAGCTTTTCCTCCCGAATTTTGCCTTCTATGGAAATTCAGACAAATTCTTTCTGAAGAACATCCTGAGTCTGAGCAGTTTTGCTTAGGATTGCAATGGGTAGCCACTGCATTTTTCTGGGTTGCAATCATAATGAGCACTCTCTGGGAGCCATTTAAGACTTGATTGTAATGATGAAATGACCCTCTCTGGCTAATGAGAGAAGAAAATTATTTCTAACGTAAGGGTCACCTTCATGTAGAGCATGCACTATGGGATAATGACAAGTCCTAGGCATGAGTAAGGACAGAACCAGTTCTGAAAGATTTCTATAAGATCCCTCTGACATTTTATCCCATTCATCTCTGTTCAGCAGAACTTCTTTCCTTCATGATGTACCCGACATATAAAGTCTAAATCATCCAACAATGGGGGTAAATGCAACCTCACCTGAACTCCATACAGAAATTCCTCTGATTCATTATCTCCTTCTGAATCATCATCATTCCAGAACTGGCCTTTGATGTCCTGGAGATAAACAAAATGAAGCACCATCCTTTGTTAGGTCCTTGTTATTAAATGGACTAGGTAGGGCAAAATGATAGGAAACAGATCCTCACATTTCTTGGGATAGAATAACTGAAAACTTACTCCTTTACACCTTTCACTTCAATCTTATTGAGTACAATATTATCTATAGTCTAGCTCTGACCGGGTGGGACAGAGGAAACCTAAGGATACCTAAGTTCTTCATCATCGCTCCCCCGTCTCTCTTATTTTATGTGTTGTCTTTGAGACAGGGTCTCACTCTGTAGCACTGGCTAGCCTGGACCTTGCAGCATTCACCTGTCTCACCTTCCTAAATGCTGGGATTACAGGTCAAGTTACCACAGCCAATGCTTACACTACTCTTCTACTGCCTAGTGTTTACCTCTCCCTTTCCTTTCAAAGAGAACAGCCCTACACAGCTCAAGTAACACTGTTTCCACACTCCTCTTCCTTCCTTCAACTTCAAATAGCCACTTCCAAAAGGGCTAGAGGGAGAAAATACTAGGAAAAGGTCAAGTCAATTTTTTGTCTTGTCTGCCCCTTAGATGATTAGTTAGGACACATAAGGAGTTAGTTAGTCCTCACCATTGGGTCAGTGGGTCTCACACACACTCTCAGGTCAGTGCTAGGCAGCACCCCTCCATACCACCAATTGAACCCAGGCCAAAAAGATGAGCATTTAGGAGATCACAGAATGACACAAAGGAGGTGATGATGTCATAGGTACTGGTGATCTGCTGGGAATGGCAGGCTTTGCTGTTGTAGTAATAAGTCACTGTCCTGTGGAAAGTAGGTAACAATTGAGTTCACCACTTAATAGCTGGGCAGTATATACAAAGGTATATTTTATCCATCTATAGACACATGTAAAGAGGCTAATACATACAAACACACACACTTTAGTACTTTTTTTGTTTTGGGGTGTTTTTGTATTTTTGTTTTTTGAGACAGGGTTTCTTGGTATAACAGTCCTAGCTGTCCTGGAACTGGCTTTGTAGACCAGGCTGGCCTTAAACTTACAGAGATCTACCTGCCTCTGCCTCCCAAGTGCTGGGATTAAAGACATGTACCACCACTGCCCTAGGTATTTTAATAGTTCTTTAACCTAGCTGAAAGCACAAGTAGACTATATACCTGTCTATTCTACTCAAAGTTGAAAGTATGGACTTGAGTAGGTAAGTATTTGCTCTAGTCTATAAGGTTACAATAACTTTAAAGCCAAAAGTAACAGCGGCAGGACCAACTGCTTATGCTTGTGTCCAATCAGTTCATTTATGAACAGCTCTCATAATACCAGTCCTCACCAGCCTTATGAACCAGATTCTTTCTAAACTCTTTGCTCCTATTTCCCACACTGGACCATTATCACTTTTTTCTTTGCATGTGTATGTGTATGCAGGGGTGTATGTGTGTGTCTGTCCTCAAGGCTGACTCTTGGAGTCTTTCTTATTCATTCTCTGCCTAGCTAAGACAAGATCTCTCACCCAGCCACCTAGCCAGCTTGCTGAGATCCTATCCCCACATTCCCAGAGCTGGAATTACACGTAGCCACCATGTCTACCAGACATTTATGTAGGTTTTGGAGATCCAAACTCTAGTCTTCACATTTGCATGGCAGGCATTTTAACCAATAAGGCATATCCCTAACACCTCATTACTGCTTTTAAAACATCAGCTTTAGTTGAGTTGGTGGTGCACACCCATAGTCCCAGGTATAAGGAGGGGGATCTAGACAACATGTTTGAGGCCAGCCTGGGTTACTTTGAGGACTCTGTCTCAAAAATAAATTAACTCAAGGGGGCTGGAAAGATGGTTTAGTGGTTAATAGTGCTCTTAACAGAGGCCATGAGTTGGGTTCCCAGTACCCACACCAGGCAGCTCATAACTGCCTATGTAACTCTAGCTCTAGGGGATCCAACATACATATTCATATTCATAAAAATAAATCTTTAAGAAATTAAAAGCAATATTACTAGAAGCCATCCTATGACAACTATCCAATTTACAGAGTTCTCACTAATACTGACAATGTTCTGGTAAACACTGAGTTGTCATGGCTAAAAGCTAATCTCCACATAGTTACTGTAAAGACCCAACAGGCACTCAGAAAAGCACTAACCTCCTCCCCCACTTCTAATTCTAGAAGACCTCCATTCTATAACAGGCTATTTTTAGCCCCACTGAAGCCTTCACTTGCATCATGTCAGGAAAAAACACTCAGCTAGAGATTATGAAGGCTTGAATAGTAAAGAATGTCAGAGTCACCATGACAGTAGGCTTTTAAAGCTTTCTTCTGCTCTCTAGATCAGTAGGTCACAAACATTATCGACAAATTGCAATCACCTAGGGAGATTTCAATCAACTTACACCAACACACAGCCCTATCCCATAACCAATTAGTACAATTTCACAGGAAATTCATGTTAAATCAGTTAAAAGCTCTCTACTGTTTTTTTTTTTTGAGAGACAGGGTTTCTCTATGTAACAGCCCTGGCTGTCCTGTCTTCCAAGTGCTAGGATTAAAGGTGTGCACCACCACCACCTGGCAAAAGTTCTCTACTATTAAGCCAAAACTAGGAATCACTATTCTAGTCCTTCCTGGTTCCACATGCACTCCAATCTAACCCACTCCAAACTACTCAGGGGTGTTCTTGGTCCCTAATGTGATTCTACCAAACCTTACTTTTCTACATCATTGGTTCTAAGTGGGCTGGTGTGCCTACAGCATCAGTATTACCTGGGAACTTGTTAAAATGCCAGTTCTTAACCCTTAACACCCGAGATTCAGTGAAGTAGAAAAACCAGGCTGGAACTCATTAATGTTTCAACAAGCCCTAAAGCTGTTATGCTGCATGATAAAATTTGAGAACCATCGCACTAGGCCATTGCATCTTCCAAGCATCTAGCGTTTCTTCTTAGACCCCAAGTTAAATCTGGTAATTAGTCCAGTACGGGGCTATAAAACACAACACCAAAGCAAATTCTACATAGCAGTTCTTGATCTGATAGTACTACCTCATTGATCAAAAACAATATGCAAAAGTCAATTACAACTGAAATTCTTAGAGATGAGATAACCTGATATTTGATAATTGCTTTAAAATACTATAGGGAGGGGTATGAGTATGAGCAAAGTATTCATTTGTATTATATGAAATTATATGTATGAAAAAACTCATTGTTGCCTGGTGTTGGTGTTACATGCCTTTAGTCCCAGTATTCGGGAGGCAGAGGCAGGCAGATCTCTGTGATATCAAGGCCAGCCTAGTCTACAGAGCTAGTCCAGGACAGGCTCCAAACCCTGTCTTGAAAAAAACCAAAATAATAATAATAATAATAATAATAAAAAACTCATTGTTTTGTAGGTCAACTAGAATTTTATTTTTAATTTTACAAATTAAGTAGTATCCTGGTTCCAAATAAAATAAGTAGGAAAAGAGATGTAATAAATTTTGCAACAGGTTCATAACTGTGAGTCAGACATCGTGGCACATATCATTAATACTAGCATTCCAGAGGCAGAGATAAATGGATCTCTTTGAGTTCTCAGTCAGCCTGGTCTATATAATGAATTCCAGTACAGCCAGGTGCTTTGTGTCAAAAGAAAAAAAAAAAAAAAAAAAAAAAAAAAAAAAAAACATTTTGGTAACTGCTGAGGAATGTATACAAGGATTTCTTATACTCCCTGCTTTTTGATATATAGTTGGAAAACTCTGCAATTATAAAATCAAAGGCTCTCCCTAAAAAGTCAATGCTGTATGTTAATAGGAAGATTCCCCTTGTTTCCCTGCTGTTCTTCAAACACAGCAAGCAAAGTCCTACTACACAGCCTTGTCTCTACTGCTCTCCCCTTTTATGATTCCATTTTAGATATCCACACTCTGGTCAAAGGTTACTTAACTACCCTACATAAAATATCTACACTAAAAAATAAAAACAGTATAAATAATACCTACACCAGCATTCCCTATCCCTCTCCAATTACTTCCCCACACTCTGACCACCGTAACATACATTTCTTTCTCACCATATTGTAAGCTCTACAAGCAAAGATTTTTACTGTTTTCACACATTTACTGAATTAGTGAATGATCACTTAGCTATGGACCTAAGCAAAATAGGAGATAGATTAAGAACTTAATTGGGATAGGGATTGGGGGGGGGGGGGACAGGGGATGAGGGGAGAGTGAGGGAACTGGGATTGACATGTATAACAAACTTGTTTCAATTTTAAAAAAAATCATAAAAAGAACTTTAACACTTCTATACATCAAAAACGATCACACAAAATGCTTTTTAAAATTCAAACTTCATTCACCTTCATGAGCAGCCGAGAAGTAAACTATGAAGTTCTGGGGACTGGAGTTTGGAGATTTGAAAATAAACAGTCACGTGCTGATATGCATGACCATGGAGGAGTAAAGAGGGAAGCACTACTGTTCAGCCTGGGTAGTCTTGGGGTGAGCAGTAGACTGATGGCAGCCTAGGCTAGAAGTGCCAACTTTTTCAAGGTCTTTCACCACAGAAGTCAAGAAAAACTGAGCATCTCTTCAAGGTTTGCTGCTTGGCTTCTGCTATTAAAAGGAGAAAAAAAGAAATCAGAGTTTTATGAAATGACCAACTTTTCAAACCAGGATGTTTTAGTGAAAAAGACTTGAACCCTCAACACTAAATGCTCTTCCCTCGGGGATGGAGAGCAGATTTAAAAGCTGGAGAGTAGAAAGAGGCAGGTGGTGGATCATAGAATTCAGACATTAAAAAAAAAGGGGGGGGGAGCTGAAAGATGCCCTAGTTCAAAGTTTTCATGTTATATATTTAATACTCCAACCTAGGAAGGTCACATAACTTGTATAAAGAACTTGAACATTTAATAGGTCCTAAATATATCCCCTTATTATGCGATGAAGCAGGTAATGCAGCGGTAAATGAATAGAAGGGGGGAAAAAAGGAGCTGGATCAAATAGAGACTATCAGCGATTAGAGAAGAGTGCTGTTACGCTCAGCGTTTGTTTATTTTGGGTGATGGTAGCTCGCATAACATGCTTGATCTATTTCTATGATATTATGCCAAAGGTAAATATGCCTTAGGACGACTCACTCTTTTTCTCTAGGTTCATAGGCACTTTTCAGAGTGACCATTTGACATCTACATAGTCATAGAAGCCTCTAATCTCAACGTCAACAGCCTAAGCTTGACTCCCACCTCTGGGTGCTAGCAGAGAAAACTCCACTCCAACAGGAGTGTCAGAAGGACTAAGCTACTAAACAAAGGAAGAAGCGGGGCGCGGAGGGGCGATTCCTGCCGGCCAGTAATGACCCGGGCACCTGCGGAGGGAGAGGACCGGGATGCTCGCGAGGACACCTGCGCTTGCCGGGCAGGGCCTGAGGCCTCTTCTCCAGGTGCCCCCCGTATGTCCCCAGCCCCGGCCTTCCCCATTAAGAAGCCATCTGCGGCTCACCGCCACCAGCCGACCGGCCGAGTGCAGCCTGTCATCGCCCCTCACTTGGTCCCGCAGGCAAGGCGGACCCCACCCGCCGCTGGCCGCCCCGCCCCATCCCGCGCTGGCCTCCCCACACACCAGCCTACGAGTACTCACGGCGACCCCGGGCCGCGCGCGGCCGCCGCGGAGGGGACGAGCGGCCCGGGACGCCCCGCGGGGGCGGAGCGGCAGGCCAAGGGGCGGGGACCGAGGCGGACGGACGAGGTCGCGCACCCCACGCCACAGCGTGCCGTCCCGGGCACGCTGGGCTACTCTGCGCGTGCTCGGATGACGACTCTATGGTCACGTGCCACACCTACGACCAATCGCCGTGCAAGCTGAATCTGGGCGAGTCCCCGTCGCAGGATGCCGGCTGGGCGCGCGTGCTCAGTGATTGATCTATGAAGGCGTGAGGGAGCGAGTGGGTGGCGCCTGTTCCCTGGGTCCCTGAGAGCCAGTGAGCAAGAGTCGCTCACGGTTCGCCAAAAAATAATATTTTTCTTTGTCGCCTCATGTGGTTGGGAGGACTGCGGAAGGAAGTCAATCTAGATTGTCTGTATAGATACTGTGGTGTCCGCTTGGTGCGGGTTGAAGCTAGGCGAAAAAAAAGGAATCAAAAATTAAGTTTCTTAAATCTGACTCGCCCCAGTGCACACTTGTTTCATTGTGCTGGAATCTGCCTGGCCTTCAGAATAAACAACTTTTGGGGTCTGGGGACATAGCTTACATAGAGAGCTTGCCTAGCATTCACAGAGCCTTGGTTTATGCATACCTGTGTAAATTCTGTGTGTTACGGTAGGCCTGTAACCTCAGCATTCAGGAAGTTAGGGCAGAAAAATTGAAAGTTATCCTCAGCTACACAGCAAATTCAAGGCCAGCCTGGATATATAAGACCATCTCAAAAGTTAACTAAATAAAAGATTTTAGTTGGGGTGGAAAAGATGGCTCAGCAATTAAAAGAACCATGGTTGCACTTGCCGAGGACCTGGGTTTGGAGCTCAGCACCCACATGGCAGCTCGCCATAATCTGTAACTCCAATTCCGGAGGATCTGGCATCCTCTTTTGGCCACTATGGGCACTGGGAACCAATGTGGTGCATACATATACATGCAGAAAACACTCATTCATATAAAATAAAATAAATCTTTATGTGAGATCAAAGCTTGGTTTGAACACTTGGGATTTTTCGCTGGGTTCTAGATTTTCTCCTTGCCTACTCATGATTCCCATCTGGATATAGTAAAAGATTACTTTGTAGCTGACTACTAACAAGCTTCAATAGTTGTTACATTGTAATAACTGGGAAAAAATGAGGGCTGTACTTCAGTCTTAGAGTGCAAGCTTTTTCAGTAGTTCAGAAAGGGGTTTGCCTACTTATGACCAAGGGTAACAGTCTTCTGAGAGCCATGCACTGGGGAATGTGCTCAACATAGAGTTCTTAAGAAAACGCAAGGGTTTTGTTCCCTAACCCTGAAACCCTGAACCCTAACCCTAAACAAATAAAATGTCAAACTCCAGAATCCTACAACTTCCCAGGATTCCTTCTAACTCCTTCCCTCTCATGCTCAATACTCAACCATTTTATAAATTATTATGATCTCCCTAGCTTTGTTCATTTTCCTATGCACACATATCCTTGTCAGTTAACCTCCCCACCCATGTGCATGTGTGTGCATCCATGCATGTGTTGTGTACACACATGCACTCTATCTTATTTTTTTGAGACAGAATCTCTTGTTGAAAGTGAAGCTCTTTGGTTGGATAGACTGGTTGGCCAGTGAGCCCCAGGGATTCTGTCTCTGCCTCATCAGTGCTAGGATTACAGGTGGTACAACTGCACCTCAACTTTTATGTGGGTACTGGGGCACTGAAGATCTGAAATTGAATCTTCATGCTTTCATGGCAATCTTTTACTGATGGGGCCATCTCCCCAGGACCAAATCAGTCATCATAATCACAGTTTTGTTTGTATGTGTTGTGGGACACTCTCCTCTGACCCTAATAGCCATTACCATTCATCAGAGAAGCAGTAATTACCACAAGTGACCTTCACAAGACTGGGTCTGTTGATGTCCCTTCATAGAAAGAAGGAGTAAGGAGAACCATTAGACTCTCACTTGAGATCTCAGACATTTCCCTTTGTGCCTCCCTCCAGCCCCATGCCTTCTCAGTCACAGTGGACCAAAATGTCTCTGGAATCATGAGCCAGACATAAACCTTTTCTTCCATAGGTTGTTCCTGTCAGGTATTTTATCATAGTATCAAGAAAAGCGGGTAATACAGGGTGAAGGAAATCACCCAGTTCTCAGACTTAAGCTTGTGGGTTGACATCATTTTGGGTTAGTCCAGTTCCTGAGCCCACTCTTTGGGAATTGTGTTTTCCATAACTGTTTTCCAAACAGGTGGGGAGCCCAAGATCCATAGGCTCCCCACCTGTTTCCTGAGGTGTCTGGTGCATAGGTTGTAATTAATTGAACTGTGAGTGGATTCCTAATCCAAGCTGTGTACAAGGCTTTTTTCTTTTGGTCCACCAACCATCTCCCAAATCATGACACAGAGACTTATTAGTTTTGAATGCTCAGTCTAGCTTAGGCACATTTCTGGGTAGCTCTTCTAATTTTAATTTTCTATCTACCCTTTGCCTCGGGCTTTTTACCTTTCTTACTTGCTTGCTGTCTCTGTCAGCCTGGCTCCTGGTCCTGGTTATCTCCCTCGTTCTCTCCTCCTCCTTCTATCATCCATTCCCCTTTACTTGAACCTAGATTTCTCCTATTTATTCTCTCTGCCTAGCTATTGGCCCTTAAGATTCTAATTGGACATCATTTGATCTATTCTGAGGTATGAGAATGGAGAAAGACAAACTGCCGAAATGAATGAAGAAAGAGAGGCAGAGAAATGGGGAGACTTCTCAAGTTCCAGGTAGCTTCCTAGCTCTTTCTGAAAACATCTGAACTCTGACCTGGAGGGGGGTGCCTATGAGTCACTCTATCTAAATTTCTTATGCTTACTTAACTTATACACAAAACACTTACAACAAATTCACAGACACCCCCTCTTTTAAGATAGGGTATCATGTAGCCCCAGCTGGCCTTGAACTCCCAACATAGCACAAGAAGTTCTGATCTTTCTATCTCTACTATCTGAGTTCTGGGATTACAGGCATATATCATCACACCTGCTTTCTGCAGTGCTAGGGACCAGACCCAAAGGCTCTGGGCATACTAAAGCAAGCACTCTAACAAATGAGCTACAACCCCTGCCATCCATAGTCTTTTCATAGAATCTTTTGTAGATCCACTGTCTCTCTACCTATCAGCATTTCCCACCTACCCCAGGTCTGCTTCCTAGCCTTTCTATTTGAGATAGGGCAAAGACTCTCTTATAATTCAAGGCTATCCTTTCGCCATGTCCTGTATTTCACTAGCTTTTACTACATCAGGAACTTTGCTCCATCACTTATTCCTCCCCCTTTATGTAAATTCAATTCTCTTCTTTCCCATTCTTTGACCTCAGCACACAAATAGCATAGTCTAGCTCAATGTTTTTTTTTTAAAGTGTGTGTGTGTGTGTATGTGGGGGGGGGGCGCATGTGAGAACGCAAGTGTGTTCATGAATACCAGAAGAGAGTATAAAATGCCTAGAGCTAGTTATGAATGGTTGTGAGCCACTTGACATGGATGTTTCCCCTGAAAGAGCAGCCAGTGCTCTTAACTACTGCGCCATCACCGGCTCCTTAATTCAGTCTTTTTTAAAAATTCAATTTTTACCAGGTGCTTGTAACCTATAATCTCAACACTTGGAAACAGAGGCAGAAAAATCACCATGAGTTTGAGGAGAGTCTGGCCTATAGAATAAGGCCCTGTCTCAAAAATATAAACAATAAAAAAATAATGAATTGGAATCCAGTTTTAATCCTGTATGCTCTTGGTTTTTGCTGAACTAGAAAGGAAGATGTCTGGATGCAGAAGTATGAAAACCCTGAAGTTTTCAACAGAGCCTGAACAGTACAATTTTGCTGCCTGAGGTCATTGATCCAGACTGACTAAAATAATTGTGCATGTTATTAATTATGAAAGTCAAATTCTCTT